ATTTTTTTTAAGTAAATCACAAAAAATACAATTTACATAATGACGTTTTTCGTAATACATATGTAGTAATAACTAATAAGTGTTGTTATGCTGATAATTATGCAAAAAAAAAGGTATATATCAAATTAAAATCAAATCACCTTTATTTACCCTTTTAGACTACAATTAATAGTATAAAGTATGTCAGTTCATAATAAATTGTATTGGGCAGATTTTGTTGCAAACCAGTGAAATTTGTATCAACTCTAGGTATTGCAACTATAATTTCTTTTTTTAATTACCGATAGGCCTACACGTTCAGCAATATCCAATGTGGGTTCTCCTGCTTCATAACGCGCGATAATTGATGCTCTTTTGCACAAATCTGACTCGCGTTGTCCTAGTAAGCGAGGCATCTTATACGTTCTTATACATTGCTCAAGAAAATGACAAAATTGTACTAAACAGCTTCTGATAAGCCGTTAAAATGCGGTGCTCCAGGAGGATTGAAGCGCCAGTGGATCATCTTTAAACATTATGATGTTTAAAGATGATCCACTGCTTTCGGCCATCTCTTTGAGTTTATGGTTAGCTCCAACAGAATTGGTTCCTTGATCCGAAAATCTCTGCTATAAAGGCCGCCATAGACAAGTCTGAAACGAGCTCAAGGTGTACAGCTTTAGTCACTGAACAACCAAAGATATATATATATATATATGATTTGACAGACCGAGCTTCTCGAATTTGTGAAATTGTTGTTAAAATCGGACCGGCAAAGTCGATTCCAACTACGTTGAATGCTTTCATTTCGGAGACAGAAGATGCAGTAAGATCGGCCATAGATGGAACCTGTGACGTCGGCCTGACACGAAAGCAACGGAGACACCTTGATAACACTTTATTGACAGCTCTCCTTGGAGATAGAATCCAATATTATTGCGCCAAAATTGATGATAGTGTGCGGTTTCCAGGATGTAAAAACACGATGAGCTTCTTCGATAACAAGTTCAGTCAATCGCGAACTTTTAGGTAATAACAGTTGATGTTTTTGGTCAAATGGCACTCCCGAATGGTGTAATCGACCACCCATCCTGAGCAAACCCTCTCTGTCAAGGAAGGGTGAGCTTTATTTTCAGTAGAACAAACTACTAATGATCGTTTCTCTTTGTTAATCTCGTCCCTTTCTTTTATGTGACCTAGATTTATTGGCCATAATGTTGAAGTTTCAGGGAGCCATCTGGGACCGTTCCACCACAGATTGGAAGAAAGATGCTGATCCGGATAAAGATCTCGGGAAGCACAATCGGCTGGGTTTTCATGTGACGGAACATATTTCTACGATGTTGCTGGTAAGACATCTTGAATATGAGTGATCATTGATTGGTCTGATTCTTGAACCACCTGAGAATCAGACTAATCAGTGATTGACTCAAAAACAATTCTGGTCGAAAGAACATCCTTTATCACTAAAAAAAAAATCAGCGACAAGTGTAGCTCCACATAATTCAAGTCTCGGGATTGAAATTGTCCACTTTCCACCCATGAAATAAGTCTTAATTGATGAATCGAGCTCTTCACAACGCAAATAAGCGATTGTAGCATATCCAATTTCAGAAGCGTCACAGAACAAATGAAGTTGACAAGTTTTATATGAGTTTGATAACATCATACGGGGTAGATTAAAGCTTGACAACGAAGAAAGTTTTTGTTTAAATAGTTCCCACTTGTCTTGTTATATAAGGCACTGTTAATTTCTACAGGATCGAGTGTATGATCAGGCTTTAAATCCTTCACATGCCAATTTCCTTTTGATTTACCATCCCTATCCTCTAATTCATAAGTATTTATACCTAATTTATTTTTAATTTTATATGGACCTGTAAACTTTTTTCCTAATTTAGCTGAATAATTCTTTGAAGCGTCTGATAGTGAATATTCTCTTTTCCAGACATAATCACCTAATTTAAATTGTACTTGTCTATGTCGTAAATTATAATTATGTTTAGTTTTTAAATGAGAATCATTTAATTTTGTTTTTACAAATTTTCTAATTATTTTTAGTTTATTTGTTTTTTCGTCGGACTCATTTTCTGTCGTATTACTATCAACCATGCTAATTTTATCTCTGTTATGTGCATATTGTCTACCATCTAGTATCATTTCATTACCAAAATTAATAAAATAAGGTGTGTTTTGGGTTACTTCCGATTTAGATGTTCTTAAGGCACACCCTAATTGCGGTAAATATTTATCCCAAAGTTTTTGATTGTTTGTAATGTAGGATGAGATCATTACTTTAATTATACGATTATACCTTTCTGAAAAGTTTGGTTCGGGATGATATAAGGGATTGTTAAGTAATCTTACTCCATATTCTTTAAGAAAATTATTAAAATCTTTGCTTTTAAATTGCACTCCGTTATCTGTTTTAAGATATTCGGGTACTCCAAAAATTAAAAATACATTGTTTTCTAGTATTTTTTGTACTGTTTTAGTATTTGAATTTCTCATAGGAAAGAATAATGTAAACTTACTGAAATAATCGCAAATTGTTAATATAAATTTATTTCCTTGAGAACTTGTTACTAGAGGACCTATAATATCTGTTGCAATATATTGCCAACAAGAAGTAATATTTGGCTTTGAACCCATTTCTCCCGCTTTTTTTCTTTGTTCTGGTTTTTGTTCTTGGCATATACGACATCTATTAATAAATCTATAACAATCTGATTTTAATCTTGGCCAATAATAATTAGCAAGAATTCTATGGTATGTTTTGTGGATTCCTAAATGACCTGCTTTTGGATGACTATGATATTTATCTAAAATTTTGTTTCTGGCTGCTTTTGGTACAACTAATTTCCAATTATGTACCTCACTGTTAAAATTATTATCTTGTATATGTTTATATAATTTGTTATTCTCATCAATTCTCCAATTAGGAAAATCTAATGGTTTCGTATTAATTTTTGTAAATAATTTTGAATACCATTTATCAGGTTTATAATCGTCTTCGTTAATTTCTATTATGTTAAGTGTTTTATTTGGTTCGTTATTTTCATTATTGTTGTCTCTATTATTACCCAATGAAGTTCGTGATAAGCAGTCTGCTACAACATTGTATTTACCTGGCCTATGGATAATTTCATAATTAAAACCCTGCAAACGTAAAACCCATCGTCCTAATCTACCGTTTGGATTTTTAAGGTTGTGTAACCAAACGAGGCTGTGATGATCGGTTATGACTGTAAACTTTTGTGGACCTTCTATATAACATCTGAGTTTTTCACATGCCCAAATAACTGCTAAGCATTCTCGTTCTGTAACTGTGTATTTTTGTTCGTTATACGTTAATGATCTTGATATGTATGCTATAACATGTTGTGAATTATTATATTCTTGGAAAAGAACAGCGCCAATTCCATTAGAACTAGCATCGCATTGCAAAGTAAAAGGATATTTGAAATTTGGACAAGAGAGTATAGGTGCCGATACTAATGCACTTTTAATATCATTAAATGCTTTTTCGCATTCCGTAGTCCATTTAAATTTAACATTTTTACGTGTTAAGGATGTTAAAGGCGCTACTATAGAGGACATGTTTGGTAAAAATCGTCTGTACCATGAAATCATACCTATTATGCGTCGTACTTGTTTAGGGGTTTTTGGTGATGGCATATTTACAATTGCAGATACTTTTTCTGGGTCTACATTTAATCCAGCTCTATTTACAATATAACCTACGTATTTTAATTCATCTCGACAAAATTTGCATTTTTCTTTGTTTAGTGTTAAATTTGCAGCCCTCAATCTACGAAAAACTTCTTTTAATATTTTAATATGAGTCTCAAAATCTGGTGTTACTATTATAATATCATCAAGGTATTTAAACAAAAATGGTTCTAATTCTGGACCGAATATTCTATCCACTAAACTTTCAAACGTTGCTGGTGCATTAGTTAAGCCAAAGGGCATTCGTACAAATTGATACATGCCACGACCTGGTATACTAAAAGCAGTAAATTTTCTACTATTTTCCTCTACTTTAATTTGCCAGTAGGCGGATGTAATATCTAAACTACTTAAATAACGTGCATTACCTAACCTATCTAATATTGATGATATTTGTGGCAGGGGATATGCGCTTTTCTCAGTGACATTATTTAATTTTCGGTAATCAATACAAAACCTATAGCTACCATCTCGTTTTGGGACCATTAAAATAGGAGAATTCCATCCTGAATTACTTTTTTCAATCACTCCCAATTCAAGCATACGGTTAATTTCTTCATTAATTTTTTGTTGAATATAATTACTAACGGGATAATTTCTTGATTTTATTGGTTGACTGTTACAAATAATTTTGTGTTCTACTAAATTTGTGCATCCTAAATTAATATCTTTTATTTCATTAAAGTAATTGTTAACCACATTATTTAATTCATGTTTTTGTTCGAATGTTAAATCTTCACTAGTTTGAATTAAATTGATATTTAAATTTTGATTTTGTTTCTGTTCATCATTGAAGTAAAACTCTCCTAACCTTAGGTTTGGTACTAATGCCATTTTTATCCAAAATATTGTACCCAACACTATTGTATGATGTACACTTGGCACTACATAAATATCAAAGATATGGGTTTTGTTTTGCAATGTAATAGGAATAGTCATCATTCCTATGCATTCAAGTTCGTCATTATTTGCAATAGTACACGTAGTATTTTTTATTGGTTTTAATTTGATACCTAAGTTCAATAATATTTTATAACCTGTATTACCTAAGAAAATTTGGTTTGCACCAGAATCTAACATTCCATTCATTTCATATCCATAAATAGAAATTTTTACATGTGGACATGTATTGTTATTATTGGATTGAGACAACATATAATCAAGAATTGGTTTGTTTGATTTATGATATGCTTTGATTTCTTTTTGTGTACATAAATTATTTAAATTAAATTTGATGACCGATTTTTCAGGTGTTTTAAGAAATTCACGGTCTAGGAACTTCTTGAAAATTAGTTTTTTGACTTTTTGAGAATACAATGATTTGCGTAGTGGTTACGTTGACCACAGCGGTAACAAGTTATGACCTTATTTGGTTTATTGTCTGTTATGTTATTATTTTCGGGTGTTCGAGATGTGTAAGATGAACGATATGATTGTTGATAGTTATCACGTTGAAACTGATTTTGTTCTTTACTATTACCTTTATCAAATTCGTGATAGTTAGAATCTTTTTGAATATTTGGGTTACCAAATCGATGATTTCTATCTCTACTAGAACTTAAGCTCCTATCTCTATTTCTACTTTCTGACCATTCCCTGTATCTACTTTTATTTTCTCGCATGTTTGCGTTTCTATCACTTGACTCATCTCTATATTTGTGTTCTGATCTACCTTTATATCTATCTCCTGATCTATCTCTATATTTGTATTCGAATCTATCTCCTGATCTATCTCTATATTTGTGTTCTATTCTATTTCTATATCTATCTTCTGATCTATCTCTATCTTCTGATCTATTTCTATATCTATCTCTCGATCTATCTGTATATCTATCTTCTGATCTATCTCTACATCTATCTCTCGATCTATCGCTATCGTTGTCTATGTTTTCTTTAAAATTAACGCTAAGCGTATTAAGTATCTTTTTTGTTCCCCTATTATAAGCTAAATCTGACTCTATTGTGGTTTTATTTAGAGTAGGTGGTACAAAATTTACTATTGATTCGCGAGTCGAATCCAAAGTACGGCATAACTCAATTAATTGGTTTTCAGTTGTAATGGTAACTAGGGTTAGTTGTGTTTGATAGAATGGTAAGATGTTTTTACGAAGTATTCGTAATTTAAGCTCTTCGCTTACAGAGATTGTCAACCTTTTAAATAGATTATTCATTATAGCTACATAGATACCTATTGATTCGTTTTCGCCTTGAGTTCGCGTTTTAATTTGGTTCCATAATTTATCATTATAGTCTCGTGGTAAAAATTCATCGCGTAAATGTTATAGAGTATCCCAATCATAAATTGAATCACGGATAGATCTAAAAAATATTAAAGCTTTTCCTTCAAAAAGTTCAACTGCGCTTTTAAACAGGTTTAGTTTATTTATACCTCTTGAAGCACATAATTCATTAATTCTTTCTAAAAAAGCAGTAATAGTGAATTCATCTTCACCAGAGAATTTTAAATTCCACTTTGTTATTTCATTCATGTCTTTCAAATAAAGTTGTTCAAGCATTTTTGTTATATTAGCATCGTCTGATTTTTTAAGAGGAGTTGATGTTTGAGTATTTCCTATTGAAGGAGTAGGACTAGCAATTGTTTCAGATTGAAGAGATAAATCTAAAGGGACTGTTTCTGTCTTATTTTTACTAACATTTTCTTGAACAGAATGTAATCGAGTAACAAAACACATTGTTTCTGTCAATAATTTACCTCGTTCTGCGCAAATTACTTTATCGGCTGACTCTAATTTTTCTAGTCTATTAAGTAAATGACATAACTTAGTTTCCAGTTTTTTCACAAATGATGGTGAGACTTCATCTGTTTCAAATAAGGTTTTAATATCAATTAATTTTTTATTTATGACGTTTATTTCTGCCTGTTCATTGACTTCAAAATCAGATCTAAAACTTTTACCACTCTTTTCTAACAAAAGAAGTTCTCTTAAAATTTTAACCATCTCTTTACAATTATGAGAGTCATCTACTTGACCTCCTCTACTATTTATTTCGAAAATTAGTTCGTCTTTCAGTAATCTATCAGGCGATAGTGTTAACATTTTTATTGATTTATTTGTAATAGCTACTCTAATTATTGGCAAGAAAGGAATCAAAACCGATAAACACTTTTAACGTTGGGCGCCAAAAATGCTACACTCTCAGGGCATTATAAGGAAAAAAAATATTTTGAAATACTGTAAGGTAATGATTTATAATAAAGAAAAAAAAATCTAAGAATTGACAATATAAAAAAAAATCTTAAATTTTAAAAATTTTAAAATTAATTTAACATTTTCAATTGCACAACTGCTTTCCGATTTATAATGATATGCGCAAGAATTTTGACTCAACGAAAGCAAAGGGCAATATATATTATCTTGTAAATTAATAATCACTGGCTTTACCGATGATAATAGGTCTCTCAATACCTTTTCTTTTTGAGATCCCTTTACAAACACCACCTCCACTCCGCATGTATGCTGTTCCAGAATGTCTTTCAGTTGATTATAGGGCACATATCCATTCTCGTAATGCAAATGGTGTAAGTTATTCTCCTCCCAACGCACTTGTCGACATTCTCGCTTATTGAGTCTTTCATAACTTATATCAGGTTGAAATATGAAATGGGAAATCGACTCACCATCACCGATAGCCAATTNGCAATGTTTGAAATTTTGTATTTACTCTCCACCATAACAAGGAATCGTCACTGACAGGAATACGTTTTTCTTTGTTGTACTCATTAAGTAAGGTCTTCCATATGATGAATTTGTCAACCGATTGGCTATCCTTTGCGGTGTTATCATCATCATCATCGCTACTCATCAATATATTTGATAAAATTGACTGGATATTATTGTTAGGTACATCCGCTGATGGCGATTCGAACCTTGCTCGTTTCTTTTTTTGCAGGAGCATCAGCTGTCTAACAAACTCATCAATTCATGCTCAATATTTTCTTTAGTCACTTCATTAAAAAATTTTGATTTGTGACGAGTAACTAAATATGTTGCTATTGCAAAGAAGTTTCTAAATTGATTTATACATTCTATTGCGGACTTAAATGTTATAGAGGTATCTGGTTTATAGTCTTCCAGTTTTAATGTATGTTTTAGAATGTGTATAAGTGGAATTACCGAATGCTAGTATTACTATCACTCATGTTTCTGGCAACCTCTTCAAATGGGTGAAGAATAGACACTAATTTGTTGAGATACAGCCATTCTGCAGGAGATATTTGTATTTGCCGACAAAGCCCTCTCACGCACCTTCCACACCTCATTCAACTCAACGCTTCTCATGCCAACTCCGCACATCTTCTCAACTACGAGACGGTTATCGTTATAAATACAGAAGCTGCCGTTATTCTGCCCACATGTCCATTCCAGCCCCAATCTTATTGCCTGCACCTCTGCCTGCAGAACTGTAGCATGGTCGCTGATACGCCTCTTACCCTTATCTATAGTTTCTCCGTTCTTCCTAACAACAAACGCCACATAGACACCTTCCTCTCCTTTACTTCTATCTGTAAATACTTCTATTCCATTCTCGCATTCTTCCTCCTCCCCTTCCATTCTTCTCAAACTCCTACACCATTCGCTTCCCTTACATTTCATCTCCCATTCACCCTTTATCTGATTCATCCATTTCTCTCTCCCATACTTAGCCATGAGCTGTAGCGGGGGTATCCCCAATGCTATCCCCAAGGCATCAGTCGGCGTCGTCTTATACGCCCCACTCGCCCAAAGGAGAAAGGGTCGTATTGCCGCATTCAGCCATCTAACTATTCTTAAATCCAATGCTCTCATTCCCCATATTTCCATGCCGTATAATAAACCCGGCAACACGACTCTCTCCACTACCATCTTCCTCATTTCCATTCTCACTCCCCATTCCTTCCCCGTAATCACCGCCATTCTTCCCAACATACCAGCCAGCCACTCTTCCTCTAACGTACCGTACATGCTCAATAAAGAGCAGTGCCGGATCCACCAACACACCCAAATATTTCACCACGTTACCCATCCTAACTATTGCTGCAGACGTACGCAAAACCGGCCCTCTAATTTTCTTTTTCGAACAAAAGATACCCTCTAACTTCTCCCCTGCATATTGAACTTTGCATTCTTCCGCCCACGCCCTACACGTTTCCCAAACCGCCTCCCACCTCCTCCCAATTTCTTAACGAGTACATCACCTATTAGGACTATTTGATTGTCCGCGTACGCCTGCAGCAAATCACTTTCCTCATCCAAAGAGCTTTTAACGGCTGTTCACGGCAAATCACCGCATAGCACGGCAAACCACCGCACCGCACGGCAAACCACTGCCCCCGAGTGCACAAAACCGCAATTCGCGGCGCACCAAACCGTCCACAGTGAAGAATTCCGCTCCCCGTCGCCGAGTTCATGACGGCAAATCACCGCACATCACGGCAAACCAAAGTCCCACCGGCCCCGAATGCACAGGACAACAAACGGCGGCAGACCGAATCGTCCGCAACCGAATCGACAGAGTCGACACCCGCACAGCACGGCAAATCACTGCCCCACGACCCCGAGTGCACAAAACCGCAACTCGCGGCGCACCAAACAGTCCACAGTGAAGAATTCCGCTCCCCGTCGCCGAGCTCACGACGGCAAACCGCCGCACATCACGGCAAATCAAAGTCCTACGGGCCCCGAACGCACAGGACGACAAACGGCGGCACACCGAGTCGTCCGCGACCGAATCGACCGAGTCGACACCCGCTCCACCACGATGAGCAACACCGCGCCACACCGCGCCACACCGCACGGCACTGCGCAGCAATGCGCTGCAACGCGCGGCAAACCACGGCACTTCACCGCAATTCCTCTCCCGCGGAAATTTCCTATAAGTAGGGATACTCCACTTACCCCGAACTGCTCACTCCCCCGAGAAAACCCTCTTTGGAACTATTCGACCAAACTCGAAAAATTGAAAAATTTTACGATTTGGCGAACGAACCTTTTTTAAGTCCGGCGGCAAACAACTGACGTCACCTGACGGAAAATCACGCCACGCCGAAAAACTCTTTATCCTTCTCGCACAGAGACTCTTTGCGTCCCACACTGACCCGACGATTGACAGCGATTATCGACCTTATTTCGTCTATACTAATGATTAAAACACTAAAATACTAATAACATCACCCAATAATTGTTTTTTCACTAAACACTAACTTAACACTAGGAATAACTGTTTATACAAATGTTTATACTCTTTTCTCACGAAAAAACAATACTTTAACCGCTAAATCCAACGATTTAAATCAGAGCGCTTCAAAAATGCGTGTTAACGCTGTGGCGACTGAACAACGAGTGTATAAACTAAATCAGTAGTCTCACTTGCCTTATATGGCGTCCTCAGATTTGCTACAGTGCACACGCTGCGCGCAATCATGCTACGCTTGCTATTTGCTGCCTTATGAGTGCGTGATCTTTATCATCGACATAAAAGTTTGTTGTGACATTTATTTCAATGGTACGCGCAGCGGATGTACAGTAAAAAATCTACGGACACGACGTCGACGTCGTAGGTGTTTGTAGATGGCTGATGAGTCCTTGGTAAGATGTTCTCTGAAAAGCGTTTTAAGGTTGCGACCGGTCTGTCCTATGTAATAACTATCACAGTCCCCACAATCTATCCGATACACCTCGCGCGATTCATCAATTTCAAATTTATGTTTAGTGTTTAGTGTTTTATCAATAGTCAAAGTTTCAAACCAGAAGTAAAAGCGGGAATTATGTTATGTTGATCACGGTTATTTTTAAATTTAAATTAGAGAGATGGTTCAAAGGGGATAGTAATGTAACGTTTATATGATTTAAGGTGAGGGTAGATCATCTTGTTGATTAAAGAGTTTTTTTTTTATGGCTCTGCGGGATCCCAACTCATAAGCCACAGTGCAAAACGACTAATTAAGATTCACAAGAAGTAATTTTAAATAATAAAAGATATCAAATAATAATGGCACTTCCTCATGAAAACAAAAATAATTTTAAAAATCTCAAAACAATTTCTACTTAAAATCGTAATAACATCAAGTGGCAAGGAGAAACCGTGCGATAGCAAAGAACTGATGAATTCCGGTCGATATGATTCGTATTTATCGCAGTTGAAAATTATATGATTCAAATCCCCCGTCTCA